CAGAAACAGGCAAACCTTGTATATAGTCATGCAGTTCACCTTTTATGTATAATTTTGAAAACCTGCAGTTACTAATGTGTTGCTTCATTGTTTGCTAGTCCTGGGACGGACCAAAGTCATTTTCTGTCTTTTGTTCAGTGAACGTTTATTAAGTACCTATTGCATGTGAGGTTGAGACATGTTGAATCTGGTGCTAATGAGACTCACAAGTATAAATATCCAATAGACTCTTAGACATATGTCTCTAGAAGTTAAAAGAAATTTAGACATCAGATATGTTTATTATATATATATATATATATATATATATATATATATATATATATATACAGCCATTTGCACAAGAAAAATCCAACCGTTTAACTTTGCCGATCTTCAAAGAAATGCAGATTACAGGCAAGAGATGCTTTTTTAGTACCCAGTGAATTATCTAACTTAAAGAATACTTACTGCAGGGGCACCGGGGTGGCGCAGTTGGTTAAGTGTCTGACTCTTGCTTTCGGCTCAGGTCATGACCTCAGGGTCATGAGATCAAGCCCCACTTTGGGCTCCAAGCTCAGAGAGGAGACTGCTAAAGTTTCTCTCTCCCTCTCCCTCTGCTCCTCCCTGCACTCACTCGTGTGTGCGTGTGCGCGCGCTCTCTCTCTCTCTCTCTCTCAAAAAAATAAATAAATCTTTAAGAAAAAAAAACAACACTCACTGCTGGCAAGATTGTGGTCCAACTAAGATGCACATGGAAGAAATACAAATTGGCTACTGGTGGAAATAGAAATTAGTCTACGTATTTTGGAAAGCAGGATAGCCAGGCATGTTAGACAAAAAGAATTGTGTGATGCCCTTTGCTTTAGTAATCCTGCACTAGAAAATTTATCCCACAAAAGCAAGCCAAAAAAGAGAAGAGAAAATCTCTGTGCATCTTGAGAACAGGAAAGGGAGCTGAGGGTTGCTAAATGGTTAGTTGTACTAAGTACTGAAAATCCTCTCATCCAAGCCTTGCTGCAGCCCTTTGAAGTGTCCCCACTTTACGGGTGAGGAAACAAAGCTCAGATGGATTAGTCATGTGTCAGTGGCAGAGTTTGCACTTACTAGCCTAACTCAGATTCATTGGGTAAGAACAGAAAAATAGTTAAATCCAATTATGAAATGTGATGCAAACTTTCTAAGTGTAGTCGTGTGGGGGGAACGTCGGAAAATATGGGGAGGAACGGAGATGAAACTGGAGCTACTCCATAATTATTAAGAATTTGTACAAGGACTAAGTAGAATAAAGACAATGAAAGCTTGATTTATTATTGTGGCAGAATCTGTTTAAGCAGTACTGATATTGCTATAACTTCTTAAAATTTTTAAAAATTCTGGTTTTTTTTGTGAAAAGAGTATAATCTAACGTATTTTGACTATATTTGCGAATGTTTTATTCATACCCCTCCATATCTCTAAACGTATATGACCTGTTACATCGTATCTGGCTGCATTCTCTACGTTGTCCTCATCGCCCTCCCCTTAACTCCTGAAAACTCTCCCTTCAGGGTCCATCACCAACAAAATCCCTATGTCCTTAAACTCTTCTCTGAAATTACTTTTATCTTGTTAAACCCTAACCTGGGTATGCCCTGAAAACACCACTTCCCTGAAGCCCTCTCAGATGGCCGCTCCATTTTTTGCCCCAAAGTTGAAGAGCTGGGTTCTTCAATGCTCCCTTGACCATTCCACTTCTCCCCTCCCTAGAAACTCTCAGCTTTAATCTCGTGTTCTCAGACTCTCGCCCGCTACCCCATCGTTGCTCCTGATCTAGGATCCCTCCCCCATTTCTCCATAATTTTCACTCCTGGGTCACTGCCTTTCTTTCCAGCATTCCTTCTCTCTTCATTCTTGGGGATTTCAATGCATAGATTCATGGATAGATATGCGATCCTTCTAATACCCCCTGGCCTCTTAGATTCTCTAGCTTCTTGTCACCTCAACCTTTACCTCCCACGGTTGCCCCCTAGACTGCGTCATCACCAACCACTGCATGCTTCCATTATCTCAAAGTGCATGCCTTCCTCACTGACCACTCCTCTGCTAGGCTCTTGAGCTCCCTCGCTTCAGAAATTCGACTCCATCAGAACCCACTATCCATCGATTCCACTACTTTTCACCCTCATTCCTCCCTCCCAAGCTGTTGGGTCCAGCTCAGGCTCCCCGGACAGACATTATATTCGCTCCCTTGCATATATCCTGGCTCCTCTGCCCTCCTTCATGTCTCATCCTCACTTGGCAGTTTTACAATCCTGGCTGAATCCAGATCTCTGCCCACTTGGTGCCAGCCCCTATGCGTCGCACTTTGGCTGGAGAAAAATGCAGAACTGTACTGTTCGGTTTCACTTTTAATTCATGACCGTGAAACTCAAGTGGGAACTTAGGGCTGTCCAGCAGTCATGATGTGTCATTCACTCTCAGTGGACTTTTTACGGTCTTCTCCTCTTTCCTTAGCCCTCCCACAGCTCATTCCTCAATCGTACTCTCAGTGGATGCCTTTCTTCCAACTTTTGCTGGAAATATTGAAGCAATAAGAGGGAGCTCCCACCAGCTCCCACTGAGCTGTCACACGGGAGCTCCTGCTGAGGACCAGCCCGTCCACTCCCCTGTCACCTCTGCCTACCCAGGGACATGCTCCAATAATTCCATCCTCCTAGGCTTGTCCCTCCGTTGGTTATTCCCATCAGCATCCACCATATTAAGGAAACCAGAAACACTCCCTCAATCCTATTCCATGTGCTCCCTCAGCTACCACGCCGTGTCTCTTCTCCCCTTCGTAGCCAAACTCCCCAAATGTCACCTGCTGTCCATTCCTTTTATTCCTACTCCTCCCTTCTCAGTCTCTCCTAAATCCAGCTCAGTCAGGCTTGACCCCAACTGTTCCACTGCTCCTGTCGAAGTCCCCACTTAAATACAAGTTGCTAAACCCGACAGTTGTCAGCTCTCATTTCAGAGCTCCTTGAAGTGCTCGAATCACTGGCTTCTAGAATGCACCCCTTCTGGATTTGCCTCTCACTACCACCCCCCTCCAGCCAGTCCTTCTAAGTCTCCTGGGACTCAAACCTTAGACCTCTTCTCTGTCTACACTGAAGCCCATGCTCCTCATCAGTAAGTGCCGTGGCTTTAAAGATCGTCTGTGTGCTGATGACTCCTAGATTTATTATCTCAGCCCAACTTCTCCCTGAGCTCCACATGTATATGTTCATCTAAGAGCTTTTGGGATATCTTTATTGCATGCCTAGTAGACGTCTCAGACTGAACTGATCCAACCCCCACCCCTCCAAACCTGCTTCCTTCAGCTGCTCAGGCTAAATTCGTAACACTTTCTCACCTTTTCCAAACCCCTGCCATCTCACACCTGGCTGACTGCAGGAGCCTCCTCACTGCTCTCTGCCCCTACACCTTGCACCTTCACAGTGTGTTCTCAAAACAGCAACCAGAGTGGTCCTTCTATAACATTGGTTAGATCACTTCTTCACGCATACCCCCAGTGGCTCTCAGATAAAGAGCTACAAGTCTTCAAAGCTGTACGTAGTCTGACCACCTGTTATTTCTCAGACTTTATTTCTCTTCCCTCTTACCTTTTGCTTACCCCACTCCAGCCAACACTGGTAGCATGCCAAGTGGGCAGCTACCCATCCACCTACAGCTCTTTGCCTAGACTATTGCCTATGATTAGAATTCTGAGAACACACCTCCCTGCACTCTCTGTCCCCCTTGCCCAGCCGTATTAACAATATTTCTCACCCCCTGACCTATTATATACCTTACTCATTTATTGTATTTATCATTGTCTCCTGCTACAATGTAAGATTCAGGAGGATAGAGATTTTTATCTGGCCTATTTATTGACTTCTCCCCAGCATCTAGGATAACGCCTCCACCTAATAGATGCTAAAAAAAAGTCCTGAGAATATGAATGAAAGTTCTCCTATTTCCTCCTGATGCCCCACAGACACATGCTGAGAGATCTGCCTCATTATAGCTTTTAATTCCTTTTCAAGTTTCTCAAGTGTTAGATTGTAAAGAGCATTCAGAAAAGTGACTACCAAGAAACACTATGTCTTTGCCTTGAGTACATATGGTCTTTTATTCTAAACTGGAAACAACAACTCCAGAATGGAGCACAAGTGTCATCAATATTGGAAGTATATAAAGAGCAATAGATCCTGGAAATTTTTAGGAATACGTTCAAAGTTCTTTGCAAATCCCCCAAATTGTGGATACCATGATGGTATATTCTTCTCATGAACTTCATACAGAGCAATAAAAAGGAAAGAAGGAAGCCACATGTGGCTCCAGATGCCACCTGGCTTGTCGCCAGGCTCACTGGTTGGATTGGAGGCTCACCCCCTGGCCCAGCGCCGCTCTGCTCATGCTTCACACTTGTGTGGCAGTAACGCCACAAATTACCGCAGCTCACGAGCCCTCGGCATCACCCACATACTGTTGAAACCAAGGATATCAATTCTGTGAGAGCCCAAGGTCCACTGTATTATTTTGCCCTACCTGCAAGACTTTTAAACACTAATTTTTTTAAAAATTAGCTCCCCCAGGTCGCTCCGCGTTCGTTTTAGAATATCACGTGTGTGGGTGTTAATTACAGCTCAGTGACAAGGTTATTCCTGTGAAACACAAAATGAGCAATCATTTGTAACAGAGTAAATTTTCACTTTGAGACCAAATTACAGATAAGCGTCCGTTCGGTTTGATTTTGGTCATCGGGTAACAAACTCTCGATGTGAACAAAAAATGAAAAAGAAAAAATAACATGTGTTTGTTTTCATCTGTGAGCTGATTTTTCGACATGTATTCTAGTTGAAGGAAACCTTCTGCCATGGTAACTTTTGCCCCCAATGATAATGATCAGAAGCCTTTGACAAAGAAGAGTGGGCGTAAGGAAAGGGGGATGCTGTCGCCACGGTGACAGCCGGCCAGCATAAACGTCTCACATCTCTTCCGTTTATCGTGTATTTTAGGGCAATTCAAGCTGCTGGAACAAGACCGAGATATAAAGGAGCCAGTGCAATATTTCAACAGTGTGGAGGAGGTGGCCAAAGCATTTCCTGAGCGCGTGTACGTCATGGAGGAAATAACATTCAACGTGAAGGTAGCTCTAGAAGAACCAAATATTTATCCTCACTGAAATAATTTAACTTTCAGGTCATTGTGTACACAGTACGTTCCCCTCTGTGCCTCGTAGGAGAGTTCCGTCCTCCTAATGGGTTCGTGTCAGTGGCCAAAACTGGTCTTTTTAAGAACCGTATGAGCTGTAGCTGATCTGACTCTCCCAACAGGTTACGATGTTAACACTATCTCTTGTTAGAACAACTGTCGAGGCAGATCAAAAGGGTTTTGTTTTTTTTTTAATTTGGACTTTATTCTCTAATATGTAACAGTTGTTTGGCCAGCTCCTCTGTGGGGTGGATGCTCCGCTTGTGGGAGCAAAAGCAAAAGGCTTATGACACAACTAATACCGCATACTTAAAGAAAAAGAGAGAAACTTTCAGAGTACGCCCAGACACCGGCTTATATTCATTCCATTCTCTGCAGACTATCTCTGTCGGTACACACAGGGAAAATTGATGTGTAGAATGTTGCCCAGTAGGTATTTATCGATCTTGGTTCATCAGAGAAAAGCTGAATAGTGTTTACTGTGCTGTGTTCTGTGTTCGTTTTGTGTTCTTATGGGGACAGTTCTGTCCCCGGCTACATAGTGAGCGAGCTCCTTTGATTAGATCTGCTGTTAACCAGGGAAGCAATGTCACTGAGGCGCAACCTCTGCCTGTGAATCCACTGTGTTTTCTTCAGCAACACCCACAGTTATGCTACAACATTCTCAAAAGTGTTCACATTGAAAGCATTAACCTCATTTCAGCAGGAAGTCCAACTAAGTCACATTCCCTAAACATTTCAATATTTGGGGGGCAAGATGCCTGTTTGTTAGCAATTCACTCTATATGAAAAACAGACTGTGGGGTATCTTAGTCCAAGAATGTAACAGTGTCTTTGTGGATGAGTCACTCCACCCACACTCCTCAGGAAAGGGGGAAAATGCCCAAGACAGCCTCTTTACTGGAGCAGTGGTCCTGCCCATTTGATCGGCTAAGCCAAGTCATCCTTCCAGTTCTAAAATACAGCTGCTATCGGGGCGCGTGGGAGGCTCAGATGGTTAAGCGTCTGCCTTCGGCTCAGGTCATGGTCCCAGGGTCCTGGGATCGAGCCCCGCATCGGGCTCCCTGCTCCGCGGGGAGCCTGCTTCTCCCTCTCCCACTCCCCCTGCTTGTGATCCCTCTCTCGCTGTGTCTCTCTCTGTCAAATAAATAAAATCTTTAAAAAAAAAAATGCACACTTTGCGGGGCGCCTAGGTGGCTCAGTCATTAAGCGTCTGCCTTCAGCTCAGGTCATGATCCCGGGGTCCTGGGATCGAGTCCCACATCGGGCTCCCTGCTCGGCGGGAAGCCTGCTTCTCCCTCTCCCACTCCCCCTGCTTCTCCCTCTCCCTCTACTGTTGCCCCTGCTTGTGCTCTCTCGCTCTCTGTCAAAAAATTAAAAATGAAAAAAAAACTAAATACAGCTTTCTTTGGTTTTATTAGTAAAATGCGTAAATTTTGTGTCCTGTTAAATTCTTTACTAGCTAAATTATGCTGGTATTCAAAAATATTTATAACTTTTAAGCCCTTCAGTAACTTAGTCTATGAGTCCTCAAGACAACTTAAACTTACCTTGAAGATTTGTGAAAACATGTTCATTTTTAAACATACCAAGATTCTTTGGTCAGAAGTTCATCAAATCCTATTTGATTCTTGTCTTGATAGGATTTAAATCTTTCCTTAAAGCTTCTATTTAAAATTTCCTAAGTGGAAAAAAAAAATTGTCTACAAAGAAAGCTCATACTTTTTAAGCTGTTTTCTAAAAACCTTGTATTTGCTGATAAATCATGAGAAATCAAGCATAAAAATTTATGATTTTTTAAAGATTTTGTCAAGTATTAAAATTTAACAGTCTTTTGTGGTATGTAGTACTTGTAAAAGATTTTTTTAAATGCCTCTAGCACCTGTTTTGTGTGTGTGTGAATTTGTATGAAATCAGCAATGATTGAAAGAATAATACTGAAATCTGGGCGCCTGGGTGGCTCAGTTGGTTAAGCGACTGCCTTCGGCTCAGGTCATGATCCTGGAGTCCCTGGATCGAGTCCTGCATCGGGCTCCCTGCTCGGCGGGGAGTCTGCTTCTCCCTCTGACCCTCCTCCCTCTCATGCTCTCTGTTGCTCATTCTCTCTCTCGCAAATAAATAAAATCTTAAAAAAAAAAAAAAAAGAATAATATTGAAATCAATACAGTTTGATGGTTTTGGTTTTTTTTTTTTTATAGAATACCAGGATTGACTTAGTTTACTCAAACATACATAATAGAGATGCCATTTAAAAATTCAGCACAGGAATGTGAATGTATTTAACACTGCTGACCTGTACACTTAAAAATGGTTAAGATGATAAATTTTATCTTATGTATATATTAGCACAATTTTTCTAAAAAAGCCAAAAAAAATTTCAAAGGCACAGACAAATGGGTAAGTGTATGGACTATAAGTTTACAGCATCCATAGAGCTGACTGGACTTGGGTTGAGTTCCTGTGCTATGCATACATAAATATTTAATACCTCTCGTCTATTACTTATGAAGTTTTAAGATGCTATCACATCCATCCGGCATTAATCATTAGGACATCGTTCAATTATATTCAAAGAAGAATTGATCAAGGAACCTCAGGAAATTTGTACAAAGAAAAACACAAATGTCTGTGTGCCTAGTGAATAAATACCCAAGTAAATAAATAAACCAAGGAGGTTTATGGAAAAGATGTCTGGGTACTACCTGGACCACCCTCCACCCCCAAAACACAATGTTGGAAGTCGTGGTCTGTAAGAATTGATCATAATGTGCATGTGTGCAGTGCTTAATGGGAGAGCTAAGTGGTATGCTTGGTTACTACTTTGCCTGGAGAGGAAGAAAAAAAATTTTAAATAGTACAACAGGGGCGCCTGACTGGCTCAGTTGGTAGAGCATGCGACAGTTCAAGGCCCATGTTGGTCATAGGGCTTACTTAAAAAAACACAACAGTACCACATTCTCACAAATACAGCTATTATAAATAGTATTAAATAGATAGTGTTAATTATTATATACATATAGATATTATCCAGAAAGCAATTTTTTAAGTGATAACAGAATTCAGACCTCCTTGCAAAACTTCACCCTCTACTCCATTTCAAATATAGCATAAATTAGACCAAGAGGATAAACAACAGAAGAAATGACTTGCAGTTAAGAATTGGCAGCTAACAGACATCTTGGGAGTCAAAAGGCACAATTATTAATTGAAATAAAGAAAAATATATATATATATTAGAGAGAGAGAGTCATATATACTTATAATAACAAATAGAAATGAAGCATAGTAACGCTGTGGAGTAGAACAGAGGTGTTGAAAGATTGGGAACTCTATAGTGGTTGTTACTTTCAAGACTGTAGCAGAATTTTATCTAAAATTTAATGGATAGGATTAGTATTGTTCACAAATTTATTTAAAATTAAGCCATTCCTGGGGCACCTGGCTGGCTCAGTTGGTGGAGTGTGCGACTCTTGATCCTGGGGTCATGAGTTCGAACCCCACGTTGGGTGAAGAGATTACTTTTAAAAAAATTAAAAATAAGCCATTCCTTTTATCTTGAAGTTAAATGTCTTGAAGATGCCTTGATGTGCCTGATTGCCCCATCATTGATTAACTTGCATTAAGTGAATTAACATGTTAAATGTTTAATTCTTTTTTTTTTTAAAGATTTTATTTATTTATTTGAGAGAGAGAGAGAGAATGAGAGAGAGCACATGAGAGGGGGGAGGGTCAGAGGGAGAAGCAGACCCCCTGCCGAACAGGGAGCCCGATGCAGGACTCGATCCCGGGACTCCAGGATCATGACCTGAGCCGAAGGCAGTCGCTTAACCAACTGAGCCACCCAGGCGCCCTTAAATGTTTAATTCTTTAACCAGCAAATATATTTTAAAGCACCTCCTGTATGTCTAGCCAATGGGAACAAATAGTGAATATGCAAACCCTGGAGGTTATCATCAATTGAAGTGGCAGACAATAAATACACAAGTACAAATACTACCTCCAAATAAAGAGATCAAGGAGACAATTGGGTGTACAAGTTTGGAGCTTGGGGCAAGGAATGGACTTAGATGTTTGGGGCTCATCAGCTCCTAGATGGCATTTGAAGCTGTAGAGCTAGTTGAGTTCACACCTACATCTGTGGTTCTCAATCAGGGTGATTTTTTTTTCCCTCCCAGGGACATTTGATAATGTCAGGATACAATTTTGATTGCTACAGCTTGGGGAAGGGTGAGTGCTACTGGCTTCTAGTGCATAGAGGACAAGGATGCTGCTAAAAATCCTAGAGTGCACAGGAGAGCCCCACATCAAAGAATAATCTGGCCCAAAATGTCAGTAATGCCAAAGCTGAGAAACTCTGACCTAGACACTAGATAAAGAAGAGAAGAGACCAAGGAATGAGCCCTGGAACACCCCAGCATTGGGGTCCAAGAGAGATTGCAGGGAGTAACAATGAGATAGAAAGATGGTGGAGCATGTGGATAGACGCTCGAAGAAGCCAAATAAATGGCTTTAAAAAGTGTTTCAAAGAGGAATGGACAACAGTGTCAAGCACTACTTACTGAATGAGTTAGAGGAGGACTGGGAGCCAACCGTTAAATTCAGCAGAATGGAAGTCTTGTTAGCCTTGACAGGAAGAAAATAGTAATCAGCTCAGAGACCCGGAAAGTAAGTTTACCAGGGAAGTACAGTAGGATGGTCCCAGAGTTTTGTCAAAGTATATGCATTTCAAGTGAGATTACTCAGCACCAACTTTTTTTCTTTGGCTTCCTGGATGCAGATACAGAATAAACAGAGCATTAGGTTTAATCAGAGTTGGGGCTCTACTGGATGAGTATAACAGAAATTAGCAAAGATGTAGATGAAGTGTGCCCTAGAGTGACAGGTAGTGATGAGCCATAGACTCCTCACTGGTTAAAGAAGTATGAATACAAGAAG